CAAAAGTACATACGTATATTCGATATATAGTCGAATATATATATTTAAAATATTTCAAAAATGTATTTTATGCATATTTGAATAACTAGTGTTTCTTTAACTTCACCGATCTTGTTGTTTAAAAAACCAGAAATCAAAACAATCAGTTTTTTTTATCCAATACTTTGACGTTTTTTTTACCAAACTTTTTAGGAGTTGTGCCTTATTTATTTAATCATTTTTTTTTTTGAAATTAATATCACACTTAATTTATTCAAGTGGTCCAATTTACGCGGTAATTATTCCGAAATTATTTTAAAATCATATTTTTATTAGCTGTTTATAATACAATCATTTGTATTATATTAGAAGCTTTACCTTAATAATATGTTAGCCATATAGATAACAAAACAATTCAAAATTGAATATATATTTTATATACATAATTTTTTCATCTCCAGGAGGCGTGTTTCTGTTACTCGGTTATAGTTCTGCTGATGAAGCTCTACTACGTCCTCATACGAATTTAGGTGTACAAGATGCTGTTAGAGCATTACAACAATATGTGGCAGCATTTATCGATAATCAAGTATGAGAAATTTTATATTATTTTATAAATTTCTTATTTTTAAAAGTCTATATTTTAATTTAGAATACATAGTATACACACCAAATTAATATATAATTATTTTTTTAATTTTGAATAGACACAGTGTACATTAACACTATTCAATATGACCGACGAAAATATAATAATAGCAGCAAGATTGCCACATGATGCAAAACTTAAAGCAATGGAATTATTACAAAAAGAAAAGGTAATGCATTGATGGTTTCATAAATAATTTAAAGAAAATGCCACTTTTAAGTTCATATTGTAGGAAAAGAAAATATAAATCCATAAATATGTAGCACTTTATTTAATTTTCTTTCAATTTATCTCTTTACTTACAGGATGAATGCACTCCAATACTCAAAACCATCAGTCATCATATTAATTCAGAACACAATGAACTGCAATCCCACCGACTCTTAAGCATTTTCAAAATGTCCGAAGTCGAAGTAGTCTGGCCAGAAGTAAGTCATGGTCGTAGCAGTTGCCAAATAAGATACACACACCTCATCCTGTTGTGTGTCGTTGTTGCAGTTGCACTCATCAACAATTTACTGCAAGTGAGTAGTAAAAATATTTTTATGACGACAACATGACACTAAATTGCATAAAATCGTTGCGATAAAATCGTTTATGTTAGCGTTTTTTATTTTTCTGTATATGAAAAACTATAAAATGGTTTATTTTAATATATATAGTAAAGTGCAGAAGAAGATGATTGATAATATTCGTATAGTGTTGTATTCTATATATTATGATAATATATAAAATATGTGTACAGTAGACGTTTAAGTAGGAATTGTTAAGTATGCTCATAATTGGGGTTCAATTAAAGTAGTGTTTAATGCCTAAGATTGAATATGTTACCATAGAAAAAATTAATTATGTAATAAATATAAACAATAAATGTATAAAAACTATATATTTAGAAAATTAAATATTTACTTGAATTTCTTTTTGATTTTTTAATACAATATATTTATCTTAACTTTTGTTATAAATTTTTGTTTTTTAATTATATTTTCCATAGCAAATACTGTGTCTTATTTTAACTATAGGTACTTTATTAAAACCAATTTTATTAAAATTTAACTTAATTTTTATAAAACTTAATTTTATTTTTGTTTGTTTCAATAATATTATACAAAACTAATAAAATTAAATACATAATATCGTATAAATAGCAAGATGTGTGGACTAAAATACAATTGATGAAAGCTCTGTTCCTACTAGAAATGTATTTATACAATATTTTGATAGAGAAAACTCATATTTATTCAAATGATTTTTTCTTATAATTTATATTCACTTATATTCCTTTTTATTATTTCAAGTTTAATTTCAATATACTCTCCGTTTCATTTCATATGTTACATATGTTTCGCAGAAAAAGAATGATAATTATTCTTTAGTTAAAGTGTTCGTTATATCGGACATTCGTTAAACCGAGAGTCTACTGTACTTAAAATTTAATTATAAAATCAGCTGATTTTTAAATTTGTGTAAAATTATTATTTTTTTTATTTTATTATATTAAATAGTAGAAATTAATATTTATTATTATATTTTTTATTTACCACTCCAAGTAAATATTTTTTTACTAATTGAATTTGAAACAAAGAATTTGTAAATTGAATGCAAATATTTTATACGAACTGCTGTCTTAATAATAATAAAAATTAAACTAAGTTTATATTAAAAATATATAATATTTAAAATTAATTATATTAATTGAATTAAGTATAAATAATAGTTAGTATTTTTTACAATTAGTCAAGGATAGTTATGACATCCAATAATTGAAGTTGATTTTAAAGCAATTAAAATTGTGCAATTTTTATGTAATTTATATTAAAAATATATTAAGTTTTAAGCACGCTAAAGGTAGTTCTTACAAAAAGTTTTCAATATTCTATCTAAAGATTCAGTTTAATTTGATAAACTATAATTGGCTCAAATTTTTCAATCTATCCAATACATTATAAGTAAATATTTAAATAAGTCCTCAATTCCGTTTAATGAATACTTAAGAAATGAAAATATTTGCTTATAGTTTTTTTTAAGATTCAATGAAATACAGTTGTGCAATTATTAATTGCTGGTTCATTCCCAAAACCAAAACTTTATACTTGAATTATCGCATTGATTTGATTTAAATCACGAAATAAACTTTTTCGCTTCACTCCCTCATGCAAATAAAATCAAATAGTGCATAAAGATAAAATAAAAAATCTATAGAAATACTTTTAATAATAAAAAGGTGACAAATTCGTGTAACCAAATTATATATTTACAACTTATTTATTTTCGTAATCTTCAATTTTAGATTCCACATATTGCTTAGCCACACTAGATTAATTCATCAAATTGAAATTAATTTTTATAACAGTCTTTATACAATTTGGTAACCTTTTGACCAGCCGACCTTTGTGCTTTTTCCTGCCTATATACTAGTTGTCTTATTTGCTTTGCGAATATTGTCAACATAAATGATCTAATTAGCCCTGAAGGTGCCAAAATTGTGAAAACTTATTACAAAAGTAACAATTTTTAGGATCGTTTTCTTTGCAGTGATATATAGGCTTGACGCATATGTCAATTAACGAAAATGTGGCTTCCAGAAAAAATGCATAAGTAACTGCCTAGAGATTATTGTTTTGAATTCGTGACACAAATGTGTGATGGTAAGCAAATAATTCACAAGCATATAAGACGATTGCTAACACTGCTTCTACGTCGTTTGAGTCTTCTGTGGAGAGTCTTCTCTCCAATAAATTTCCTACTGCAAAATTTTTAGAGTGCTTTAAAGATCGCTAACAGCACATCAATTTTTCACATTATGATAAATGAAGGATATTTAATGTTTGTCAACAGTCCATAATATAATAACGGATATATTAAAAATAAAATATATTCTTGGTCAGCATAAGAAAGCTAATCGATATGTAATGTTGTCCAAAAGTAATTTTAACCACATGGGAATAAAATGTAGATATCAGTTAACTGATCATAAATAATATTTTCTTTGTGTTGAATAATTAAAGTTTCGACAAAGCCAGAGCAAAATCCTTTTATTAGTTTTTTCTTATCATGCGACTAAATTTATTTTTAATACTAAATTAAAATCAATATTACAAATTGTATTAGTTCTTCAGTATAATAATTCATTAAAAATTTCTATCTTTATATATATATAACATGACAACAATATTTATATTCGCTCATTGACAGGTTCTGCAGTTATTAATGTATTGCATTCTCAATCAAAATATGAATGTATAAAATGGCAGTTTATGGGACTTCAAATAATTTCTATAGCTTATTATACTTTGAAGCACCGTACAATCAGTTCTATGGAATATCGATATGTGGATCATGTCAGCAACTGAAATAAGTTGATTCTGCTTGTTATAAAATGTAAGATATCAAGTCTAATTCATAAATTACTTTATTAGAGTTAAACATTTATACGTACAAGTAGTCTCTTAATAAATAGAATAGCTCCCATTTTCAAATGTAAAGCATTTTTTCTTATTTATTTAAGCATTTTCTTACATTTCCAACTCCAATTAGTCAGATATCCTAATTTAAAATAGTCTGTCAGATATGTAGAATTGTTATATATGAAGTAAACATATTATTTTAAGTCACAGAACGACTTCAATAGCAAATTATTACATTAGTCTTGTTGTAATTACTCTCTAGTAATTAGGAAATATGATTGTTACGTTATATTTGCGACCAACAGAAATAGACCCATCTATTAACGATAACTTCAGTATTTTCTCTTAGAGAACATACTAAGAGAAAATTTTAGTATAACATACTAGTAAAATTTATCTGTTCATTTTGTTAGAAATAATTTATGTCATATGGTAAAAAGGATATAAAAACTAACATGTGACATGGATGAGCTAACATGATGCATCGAGTAAGAATATTATAACCTAGATTTATAAAGTTAAAATCTGGTTAAATCAACCAAATTATTTTTTAGAATGCACTAATATCTACACTAAGTTCTGCTTCAAAACTCCACCTAAATATCTGCTATAGTAAAAATTGGATGTCCATAGGTCTACTTTTTTCACTAACTGCACGCTACAGTGGTATATGTATCCAAAATGTTCAATACATGTATGAACATGTGAAAATATATAGTGAGCGACAATTGTTAAAGAATTCACTATCCTTTCTGATTTCCGACTCGACTATAATATGAGTCAAACACATTCATTTTTGATCGAATTTTACACGAATAATATAAACATTCTATTAGCTGTTTGTTTGGATACGTCTTCTATTTCGTGTATTACAACAAAATTATTTCGGACAGATGTCAATATGTATATATCTATTTTTTAAAAGTTTTTTTTTACTCCACATGTAAGCCAGTGATCACTCTCTATCAAGCTTGTGAACATATGCTTTCAACAGTCAGTGTGCCGTTAGTGTGTAAACCATTATTCTGTAATGTGGTCGCAGGTTGAATTGGACGATATTGGGAAATTACTTGTTGTGTAAGATGGTCTCGTTCTGATCTCATAATAAATACTATATTTTGCGAAGAGACTTTAATTTTTTAGATGTGCGATTTAGATAATTAAATATCTGCTTTATGAATTTAATGATATTCAACAAGAACTAACTACGTCAGGTACCTTGATAGTTTCACTAGACCTATGTAGAAAAACAAATATTTGAAATTATAAGAGAAAGTCATCATGATATGAAAGTTCTATTATGACTTTTGTGAAAATTACAAAAAAAAATAATTTATTTTATAGTTTAATAATTCAACAGAATTTAACTCCGACTAAACCAATTTGGTTGACTTCTTACTAGTAAGCAATATATTCATTCATCAATTCTTCAACTACATTTTACTCAAACGTGTTTGCCGCTTAGGAGAAATATTATTGGATAATTCTAATTCGACACTACAATTATTACCTAATATGAGCAGGGTAATCTATTATACTCGTACTTTTTTACATAGTACACTATTCTATATGGTAAATATTGCCATTAAAATTAATTTTCTCTGAATCTTTGCTGTAATTATCTTAAATGTAATTGGTGTGAGGACTACCTATGCAATAAATTGTGTTATACAAATCTTTTAGAATTACATATATGAAATATATAAAGTATATATAAAATAAATAATAATAATTAACAAAACATATCAAATTGAACACCTAAGTATATACACCAAATGTTTATAATTTACATACAAAATTATTTGATAAATTTGTATATATTATTGTAATTGTATTTATATAAAAGTATATATAGGAATATATAAAAAGATATTTAAAATAAATATTATATTAATTATATATACATATTCTTTAAGAAAACTGTAAACTCAGCAAAACTTCTGTTGCGCCTTAAAATACTCGTAACCCTGAACTGTATATATCGTATATATGTATGTATAACAACTTAGATAAAACTAGTTAAATAATAAAATCGATATTTAATTAATTAATTTAATTGAAAATAAATTAACTAAAGTAGAAATTATAAAAGTATACATATAGATAAATACATCCTGAAGTAATTTGAAATAGTAAATTTTGGATTGAAATGAATTAAAAGCAAGATTCACTATATAAAAAATTAAATCAAATAAAAAAAATTGATGACTTTCGTTCCATACTTTTGACTTGGTATTAAAAGCAATTAAGTTTAAAAATCAAGTCGTTATCATAAAACATATATAAAAAACTATATTTTAAGCAAAAATATACATACATACATATATGAAAAATGTCTTCCTTAATGCATATTCATCGCAATATGTATTGTGTTTATTAACTATTTGCAAAACAAAAAAAAACAAAAGCTTAGAATCACTGTAAAACATTATGCATATATTAGAACACTTATTTATACATTGATATAAACAAAATAGCATAAATTATATATATATATATATATAAATCTATAACTTATTAAATACCAAAAAAAAAAATACAAAACAAAACAAAATCCTTTATATACTGTTGACACAATTGAGAAATTAAAATTGTTTAGAAGTTTAGTAAAAGCGTAGCAACAATATAACAAATTGAAGAAAAAAGATTAAATTAATTAAATCGATACTAAAATTAAAATAAGTGCTTAAAAGCGAATTTGTATAAATACACAGAAAAAAAACTGCTTAAAACACGTTATAGTTAATATATTAGACGAATTTACTTAAAATTATTTGAAAAATAAAAATAAAAACAAGTAAACCTATACAAGTAACCTATATTAAATTTCTGCGTAAAAAACAAAAGCTCAAATACGATAGAATTAAATATACTATAAATCAATTTAGGTACTAAAATAGCTTAAAAGCCACACTAAATAATGGACAGCATTTGAAATAAAAAACAAAAAAATTAATTTATGATAAACTATCAATAAACTAAAATAATAAATAAAATAAATTTTATGATGTACTTCAACAGAGATAATATCCACAATATAAATTTATTATGCGATACTGTTTTAAAATGCTTTGTGCATAATGAAAATTTAAAAAAAAATTAAATTTCGATTTTATTACTTAAAATTAATTTATTTATTTTTAGTTTTATTAATAAATCTTTCAACTTTATAAAATTAAATATTTCAAAGCTAAAGCTTTAACACAAAAGTTAACTAATAAATAAATTTCATCGGAATATTTAAAGAATTTAATTCGGTTCGGTAAGACATATTATTAATTATATTAAATTATATTAAATATTTAATTTACTTCTTGTATTCATTTAATTTTTTTTTTTTATGTTTCTACTGACATTTGCTTGCTCTATATGTGACACAATTCATATGCAGTTTATATCTCTATACAAAATGACATATATGTACGAAATAATTTCTTGATCTGAAATGCAAAGAAAATTTTGCTGCAATGACTTATTTTTTCAATATTGATTAAGATTTCCGCTGAAATGATACTCCAACAGTAGTCTTTTAAAATGCATAGTACTTTTAAAAACAGAAAATGGTTTTCGACACAGAAAAGTTTAAAATGAAGATTAGGTGAGCGAACCAGCTAAAAGAAATATTAAACAGATATAAGGAATCAAAACAAATCCTATACAACCCACATTTGAAAATAAAATAACGGTAATATCAAACAAATAAACTAAAAGTCTGTACGAAAACCTAATATATAGAAATTTGATACTCCATAACATTGCGTTACCGAACAATATATAATACACTTAGACCAGGTAAGATATTGAAATATCTGTGTATGACGGTTAAAATACGATTTCAAATTTTAATTGATTTTTAAAACTATACTCAAACTAAGTTTTCATTAGTCAGTATCACATCACATTAACATATAAACTCTGATAAAACAAGTGTAAGCACTTTTTAGCACGATTGCGATTTCATGGGTACATCCTTCTGGCAAAGGATTTTCTAAATACTATAGTTTTAAAGTTTTCAAAAACTTTTTCCGCTAAGATATACATAAGCTGGCGTTTTTATATATCAGGCTTTAGAATTGCAAATTTCATAATATCAATTTAAGTATTATGTGTTGAATTGCAATCAAATCGATGTGATCACGTAACAGAATCGTGCCTAGTCTCTTTAGCGACGTCTAAATTTATATAGCAGTTCGTAAAATTCAGCGCAAATAAGCTAATATATTGCTTTCAGAATAGGTGAGGCTGATGACACTATCCTAAATTTTATCCATAAGCTTTAAAATCACCAAAATTATTTCTATATTTGAGGACTTATTGTACGCTATTTTAACATCTGTCAAGATCATAATTGGAAAGAACTTAGAAAATTGATTGCTTTTCTCTTATATCAGAGAAGTTCAGATAAATATGGGATATATTTTCAATACTTAGATAAGCTTTGATATCTTTTGATATCTTTGAATCTATTAATATAATTTTAATACAATTAGCAAAATATAAGTTTATATATATGAACTTTCTTCTTTAACGCAAAATATATGTTGACTCAAGCAAAGTTCTGATTTAAATTATTGAATAAATTAAAAAACTTAGTTTGAGGCTAATCATTCATAAAACGAACAAGTTTTCTGTCAATAAGAATATTCTACTATACGTTATTATGTTGTTCCTAATCTATATACAGCATATCGCGGCATTTGGAATTATCTTTAGGCATATAGTTTGTTCTCCAGAACTTGATTTGATCTAAAGTTAAAGACTCACCTGCTCTGACACAAACTTTATTATTTCTAATCTATATATACAAGCAATATATTTTAAACTTTTCTTTAAAAAACTTTAATACTTCAGGTTATCGTTTATTGGGAGATTCATATAGCTTTATTGTACTTAAAGTTATTTTCTTATAAATTTCAACCTATTTTTAGCAATATATTTTAGTAAGGGAAAAACATGAAAAGAGAAAAGTAATATACATAAATATACTTTCTAATATACTTGAATAAAGAAATCATATAGAAATATTTATAACAGACATGTTAAATTTTGGAGCAATGATATTTCCTATTTCTATTTGATATACATAATTTAACATATAATTTGAGCTTTACTACCAACAATCAATTAATATAGGCATAATTTTTGATTGGAACTACATCAAACGTAATATTACATATCAGATAATGTATTTATTTATTTAGATTAAAAGCTTTTGCAAGAATTTTAAAAATTGTATGTTAAAATAACTTTTGGTAAAATATTTAATTTGCAATTAAATATCTTATTAAATTTTTATCTACAATACTTCTACTATATTGAACCTGTTCTAAAACCTAAACCCGGATATATCACAAGATTAACCAAATATTAATCAAGTTTTAAAAATTCATATTAGACACAAGATAAGAGTTTACATATCTTGAAATATATCTCACTGTCACTCACAATAGTCTAATTATTTTTTTATTTTTTATATATTTTTCTTTGCTTTTAATTGACTTGAATTAAATTCTTCATAAAATTAAATATATTTCGAATATATTAAAAATGACTTCATTAAGACTTTTTGGAATTAAGACCACTCATTAACTACTTATACCTTTTACTGTCTTTTTCATTTTATACCAATTATTTATTTAATTAATTAAATTGTATCCTTTGATCAGTTTATTGCCAATTATTTAACAAAAGTTTAATATCTTACATATCTTTGAATAACATATCAGACAAAAAAGTGTAACTTAATTTTGCGAAATAATTCACATATGTAATATGTTTCGTTCTGCAAATAAATTATAATTATAATTTAACTTGACTCATTTATTACGAATAAAAATTTAATTAATTATTTCATACTGAATAAACTTATTTTTACTACTTTATTTACAATATTAAAAATTGATTAAATATTATCCTTTTTATTGAAACAACAAGTGTGCAAAACATAAAATTGATATATAAAATTACTGAAAAGATAATGTATCTTGTCTGTTATGGAGACTGTGCGACATTAACGATGCTACGTAGTTTAAATGTACCATTAAAAAGTAAGAAAATAATGTAATGAAATATGTTAAAGTTAAGCACAAATTGAGAAAGAATTAAAATTTAATTTTAATTAATCAAACAAATACAGTTAAGTGTAGTCATACGAGTTAAATGTAAGTGTTTAAGCGAAACTTAGAGATAAAATGAAATAAATACGTTAGAATTGCAGTTAAGTTGGCTTTATTATTTAAGAAAATAATAAGAACAAGAACAAAAAGAAAAACATTTGTAATGAAAACATTAAAATAAAATTAAATAAAGGAAAATGCTGATTGTCAATTTGAACAAAATTAACAAAGAAGTTGAACGTGATTTTATTTTAAAATGTTGCAGTTTGTGTGATTTTATCTTTCAGTAACAACCTAAATATTTATCCAGCGTCATTTTCATGCAAAAAGTAAGTAAAACTGGCAAGGATGCAGTAGTCCCTTTCATACAAATCCAATAAATTTCGTACTGTTTTTGTGCGTAAATTGTGTACCGAATTTTAATTAAACAACATAAAATTTCTTCTGCTAATGTCAACATTCCCGGTTTCCTCTTCCTTTGTAGGTAGTTCAGAACTTTTGGTAACAATGAAAATATGTACATGCAAATCTTAAAGGAAACGAAATTGCACCACTAAATTTTTACTCAAAGGAAAAGTACGGATATTTTTTTTATTGTTTTGAATATTGTATGAAATATTTACCAAAATCTGAAAACAAAAGCAACATATTTTTAGTTCAACTCAATTAAGAAATTAAATTTCATTTAATGCAATGTAAAGCTTGAAACAAAACCTGATGAAATACAAACCTGATGAAATACAATAATTCAAAGGTAACTATAGACAACGTCACAACTATAATGCTTTCATTATTGCTTATTACTTTCATAAAGTGGTTCTTCGAACAGTAACGAACTTTTATATATTATATTATATATATATTTATACATTTTTATATTATTTTCATTAATTGAATTTTTGGCTGCCCATACAGCTGTTTCGAGTATTGCCAAATACCTATCATCAGTGGTCTTGGAAATAATTCTAATATTTAATTATTCGTAAATAATTTTTTTTGAGACTGCATTTACTAGAAATCGAACTCGTGCCCTGCCGAATTTGAATATCCGAGTCAGTGCACCTTAATTAACTGACCCAAAGCCGTACTTGACTTTAAAGTTCGCACATTTTTCTGGAAATTTTTTACTTTGCTGTGAAAGTTTTATTAAAAAATTCACTTTCTGTGTTTATATTACAACCAAATTATAAACCAGCTGTAAAATAATTGAATTAATTATATTTTTATTTTTAATTATTAAATTTCAATACTATTCTGTTTGTGGATTATTACCTTCGATATATGAATTGTCACATTTGGCTATTTATTTAATGTGACAAAGATAACAGAACAGCTTCCGACTATATTGACGCCGCCATTACCAACGGACTTCGTACATTTTAATATTCCAAATAACTTTAAACACAATGCCTATTGTCGATATGCTCTGAGTTTGGAAGTTATAAACTCAAAATTATATTAATTTATATTAATATTATATTAATTTAAATGAATATCCTACATTAAGCTTCAGAAAATTTATATTTATTTTAACAGCTCACGGATTGACTATATGAGTTTAAATACTACTATTTAAGTTAGACGATCAATTGATCAAAATTAGAAATATTTCTACGTTACGGAATAAAGAATAGAATATAGAATCTAATATAGACCTCAATATAGAATAAAATATATAGAATGGACTATAGAATAGAATATTTAATAGAATATAGAATAGAAAAGAATATAGAATGTAACATACATAGAATATAAAATGGAGTAAAATAAAGAATAGAATATAATATAGAGTAAAATAAAGAATCGAATATAGAAAAGAATATAGAATAGAATATGGAATAAAATTCAGAAGAGAATATAAAATAGAATACAAAATAGAATATAGAATAGAAAATAGAAAAGAATATAGAATAAAATATAGAATAGTATATAGAATAGAATTTAGAATAAAAAAGAATTGTAATAAGGACTTTTTAATAATTTTAAAACAATATTTTTATAACATTAATCAATGTGGCATAAATTTTAATCAAACTTCATAGGTAGATATAAGTATTTTATTTAGAGTAGAAAGCCGAGCATTTGTTTAGTAGTATTTTTTTTAAAACTTCGCAATTTGTATTTGTTTTTTACAAATCAAAGCATTCCTAATTATTTAAAAGGAAAAAAGAATCGAAAAATTCAAATTTGTTCTTAATATTTGAATATTTTATAAAAAAAAAAATTAATTATATATCAGAAAAATAATTTTGTTTTTAATGTTATGTATAATATCATAATTTCAAGATACGTATACCCAAGCACTTTTAAAATTGTTCTCATTTTCATTGCAAATATTTTAAGGAAAAATATTTAATACTTTCTTCCAAATATATTTCCTGTGTGCCCTTTTCAATATACTGACTACGCCACTAATAATTTTTTCTAAAAGATTTAACACTTGACCATGTCATTAAATCAGATTTAAAAAAAATTCAAATTTCCTTAATTGTTATTACCTTCAACTAATTATAAACAACCTTAACCTTAATATTTTTGTATAACTCTGTGACAAAGTAAACAAATCCCCCATTTTCAACGAAGTCCTGCATCTAAACAATAAAGCTGGCATGAACAATGGCGACAACAAATAATTTAACTCGACTTTATTATTGACCCTACACACCGCACAAAGCACCCACTCAACCTCATTTAGAAGACTTCGTAACAACAATAGGGGTACTAGACTGCCAAGTGGCAAAAAGGGATGCCAAATAAATTCAATATGAACAAAAGCAAGCGAAGTGGAAGGAATATTGACGACAAATGCCGTTGACAAGAGCCTAATATAAAAGACATTAGGAAAGGAACAAAGGACGGTAAGCAGAAAAAAACAGGATAAGAAGATGACAGGAAACATTGCAAGTGTTGCACTACAAACAAAAGTTTTTGTGACCATACGAAATATGTTGTAACCATACCGACCCAGACCCAAAGTGATGGCAGGTAGGCGGTCAAAACTTGGAATGTTGCCATTTTTTTCTTGAATCTTGTTTTTTTTATGAATTTTTTATTTGTGCACCTTATCCTTTTATTGACACTAGTTTCTTTGGGCACACATACACAGCATTGAGTGCTTTCGAAACGGAATGTTTAGAAGAAAGAATACTTCCGGCACTTCCACTTAATTAGGTAATAAATGATTGAGGAAATTATGTCTAGACGTGACGACAATTCCGATGCCAAAAGTATGATTTTGGGCCAATTCCTTCTGCTACGTGAGAAGTTCAAATGGAATAGGAAGAAACGGTTTATATAATGCTTCTTTTGACTGCTTAAAAAGGTTTTTGTATTGGTTAAATTATTTGTGTTAGTTTTTTTTTTTGTATTTTGTTGTACATTTTCTAAGTTGAATAGAATGCTTTTTATTTGATTTATTCTTTGTTGATGGCGAAAAAAAATCCATTCACTATGGAACGTGTACTGAATTCTTTTTCACAGAATTTTTTCTTCATTTTCACAAACAAAAAAGCAAACAAATTACTTTATTGGCTACAAAACGAAGAAACAGAATGGAACATCGTTGAGGAGAATATTTGAAGGAAAAACTCTTGGGTTTGCTAAACAGCATTCAGTGTATTTCTTTCAAAATAATGAATTTATTTTTGATTTTTAAGAACAAAAATTAAATAATATTATTATGTCAAAAAATAAAGAGTATTGAGATATCTTGATTTCCTTTCGAAGATGATTTTAAAAATTTTCAATGCAAGCACTGCGAAATTGAATATTTAATGTGCATCGTAAATCGGCTTAGGAGTTTAGGTGCCATTTATGGATTATCATATGTAGATGCTCATATAGTTTTAAATAAATATTTTATACTAATAAAAGTGATAAGTATTTTCACTCGTAAGACAATTCGACAGTAACCGCTTTTTCTAATAGTTGTAAATAAATATCAATTAATAAATAGACCTAATCTCAATAAACTATATAGATTTAAAGTCTCTAAAAAAGAATTTTCAAACTATACATGCTTCAATAGAACATTAACTCGTTCAGAAAGTTGATTCTAATTACAATTTTCACTTATCTACTACTCAACGAAAGCTATAAATTACCTAAGAGAGCACAATATGTCACAGGACTCGGATATAAAATAATAATACATACAAATTAATTTCGTGGAGGATCGCCTAAAAAACTACATAACAAATCTAACTTATATACGTATAGTTGTATACTTAAGTGAGCATATAAAATATTAATATGTAAATATATTTAATCTTTTAACTACTAGGAGAAGCATAGGTTAGGTTAGGTTAGGTTACTGGGGCCGTCCGAAGACACACTTAGACCATGAGGTCCATTGTGATACCCTAAGAATTTGACACCTGTCCCTATAACCACTTGGTATTGGCTACAAAGCCATTGACACGAGCTATGGAAATAGAATCTAGCTCTCTTAATGAATAGAAAAAGTGCGACCCTAAGTAGGATAGTCTATGTCTTGCGAAGGCAGGACACTGTAGCAGAAGGTGTGTTGGTGATTCCTCTTCATCATCCTCCATGCAATGTCTACAATGTAAGGAGGTCCTGATGTTGAGTCTCACGGCATATCCTCCCAACGGGCAGTGTCCCGTAATAATTCCCACTATCCTGGATAAATTTGCTCGGGATAGATTGATTAATTCCCCCGATCTTTTCTTACTTATTTTTGGCCAAAATTCCTTGGTTTTTATGCAGTTGGTTACTGTTGACCATCTTCTTTCAAACATTTGGTATGTCCATAATTTTATTCGGTGCCGACAAGAAGCAACTGGTATACCCACACTTTTTTTTTCCAGAAGAATTTGTGCTGTCGTACCATGTCTTGCTAATTCATCTGCTATACAGTTGCCTTGGATGTCCCTATGTCCAGGGACCCAAATAATTCGTATCCGAAAATATTCAGCCATCACCATAAGTGATGTAAGACAATTCAGTACTAACCTCGAGTTGAAGGTCGACGAGTTTAAGGATTTTATAGCTGCCTGGCTGTCAGTAAATATGTTTATAAATTTAACGGAGGAGACATTGTGTTTCAGCCAATCTGAAACTTCCAATATAGCAGATACTTCAGCTTGAAAAACGCTGCAGTGATCCGGTAGCCTGAAACTCATACTGAGATCTAGTTCAGGGCAGTATACTCCTCCTCCTACTTGTCCATCTAACTTTGAGCCGTCTGTAAAGAAGTTAAGGCGATTATCACTCTTTACAGAGTAGTTTTTCCATGTCTCCCTAGAAGGAATAAATAATTCAAGATTTCTGTTCACAATTGTAATTGTAGTACAGTAGTCTGTTATATCCGGAATGAAATCAATTTCTCTGAGGATGGAATCTTGCATCCATCCACAACTGCTTCCAATTCCTAGTTCTCTTATACGTAAAGCTGCCCCAGCTACCTCGCCTTTCGCCGCAATGTCGATAGGTAAGATATTGAAGATAACATTCAGGGCAAGTGACGGCGTTGATTTTAACGCTCCGCTTAATGTCATCAGTGCAGTCCTTTGAACCTTTTTCAATTTCTTGCATAGTGTTGACCTATTCAGAGTATTTCTCCAAAATAACACTCCATACAAGAGAATTGGTTTTACCACCACATTATATATCCATAAAATGGACTTCGGTGAGAGTCCCCATCTTTTGCCTATAGCGCCTCTACAACAGTAAAAGGCAACCATAGCTTTTTGGGTACGTGCAATAACATTTGGTCCCCAATTCAGTTTTCTGTCCATTATAAGACCTAAATATTTGGCTTTATCATTCAGAGTTAGAGTTTGACCTCCTAGGATAGGTAGCGTGAATTCCGGAATTTTATATTTCCTAGAAAAGAGCACTAGTTCTGTTTTGGTTGGATTTATTGATAATCCGCTACAATGGGCCCATTGGGATACTTTATTTAGAT